TTTTTTTTGCTGCTTTGCGCATTGCCATCATCGGTAGGACCATTCTTCCTTGGTACTTCTGGTAAAGTTCTTGCATCAAAGCTTTTTCTGGGTCGCAATCGTTTTTTTTTTTTTTTCACTTAACACACTAAAACAGACAAACACACACACTCAGTGTATGTGTGATGCCTCGCTGTAAGCTTGTAGAAAGCATCCCCAACTGTTATGCTCTTTGAATACTTTACATTTCTCTCACTCTCTCAGTCACTCTCTCGTGGGCTTGCTCTTAATTTCTGCAAACTGTTAACTCTTAGCCATAAATTTGAATATCCCAACACTTCACTCTTCGATTAAGCCAAATATGTTAAAATACGTTTGATTATATAGATACGCATAGGTTTACGCGTATTTTTACATCAATGTACATATTTCAGAAATGCAGTCTAAAGTTCAAGTTTGTCGCCACACTTGAGTTTTCAACTCCAAGCGAAATAGGTAATATTATGGCGTGGAATGGCTTTATACAATGATATACAATGTATTTGTTCATTGTTATTTGTATTGTTCAGGATGTCTCCGCTTAACTCTAGACTGCTATGGATAGAAATAATAAGATAAAAGACTTGTAACATAGAAAATGAGCAGAAAGGCAGGTATTAGTTTACTAATAATTCGATTAGAATTAGAGTATTATCCCTCTAGAGTAGATCCCTCTAGGCAGTATACAGTATATAGTCAGCTATCACTTCAGCCTAATTTGAACACTTTTAGATCTGAGACTTCAGATTTACTGTCAATATACATATGATGAATACAAACATTTAGTAATTTTCAGGTTTTTGATACCACGCCCCCTTCGCCCTCAATTGGTAAAAAACGTATTTCAAGTACTAGAGACTTGTGTTGGAATGTACACACATTTTAACCATATGGTTACGTCCTAAAACTTTCATAAAGATAGTCCATACTGCAGCGCAGCCCAAGCGCTGTCGAAGCTTACTGCGCAGTTAGCAGAGCACGGGCTTATGCGTAGGGTGACTATCCGTCCTGGAATTCCGGGACATGTCCCGCTATTGGAGGTAATGTCCCGGTGTCCCGACCTGACACGAAATTGTCCCTGTTTTCTATTGTTTCGATAAAAAAAAAATAGTCATTTTGACAAAATGCAAACTTGAAGAAGTTTGTGTCGAGACAAGTCAAGAATTTTGTTTAGAATTTTGTTTACTCGGAAGTATTAAAAATAGCTCAAATCCTGCATGCGATTCCAGCGCACAATGCGCAAATTTCGAAAGGGTTTTTTCTTACTAAAGAAACAGTGGTGAGACGAAAGAAATAAGTTACTGGTGGAGAATGTTAAAAACATCCATATACATAGTTCAATTTAATTTTGTGGACATGAAAACATTAAATATTGATAAAAGAAATGTTATGTATATATGTTCGACAAAATAGGCAGTGTGGAGAAGTATATGTCAGGCAATCAAAAATATAATAACAATTAAGTATAAGGATGTATTCATATATATGGATGTGCGTCTTGTGGAATTATGCTAAATAGAAAGAAAGTAAAAGTTGAATGTATGAATGTGTGAATCTGTGTGACAAATGATTTATTTCAAAGGTTTTTTTAGGGTGCACTATGGGCGATTTGTCGATTTTGGCGGCATAAAGTCTAAAAATAAAGCTAGAAGCCTAATTTTTTGTATTATATTACTTATATTTTTCTTGAATTTCGGATTTTTTTCTCTTAAATTGTGCCACGCCTTTTTTGCCCCCTTATNACTTAACTGACCGAGCCGACACACTGACATTGATCTTACACAATGAACTTACTGAATGAACTCTGGCTCGATTTACAGCATGCTTATATACTTACTTCTATTACGTATCGAATGTTCTGGATGTCTCCTTATGCTTYTATGTTTACGTCTATTTCATATGGAATGTATGCATGTACATAATCCAGAACATTCGGTTTCTTATTCTAGAGRCAAATGTGCGATCAGCCGACGACTGTGTTTACCGTTAGGTCAAATGCTTACTTGATGATGTTGATGAGTTTTTCGAGATCATTCCACAACATCACCCCCTCACCCTCACATTTGTAAAAAGGGTGTTTCAAATACTAGGGATATACATGCTTTGGCAAATACATGCATAAATATGTTATATTCATAATCTGAAAGTTTCATGAAGATAGTCCATCCACAAGAAAACTTATTAAACAATTAAGTTCCCATAGTAGGCCAACACTGCAGCCAATGCGTGTTTATGCGTGCGTACGTATGTCTGTGTGTGTACGTGTAAGCGTGCATATGCGAATAATTATTTAAATATTTAGTAGCCACGCCCCTACTGGGCGTAGACACCTCATTTTTGGCCAGTTCTTAGAACGAGATAACGGTACTCTGACTACAAAGTTTGAATGCTTACCAAAAAAAAAAATAAGAAAATTACAGGGTATTTTTCGATATGTCACGCCCCTAACGAGGCGTAAAAATTATTATTGGGTCATCGATAGGGGGGTTACTAGTAACTTAACTATCTAAATTTGAAGCTTCTAGCTATTATACTTAAGAAGATATATACTTTTACGGTTTGCCACGCCCCCTGTGGGCGGACATATATCCGACAAAACTTTTTGGTCTTGGGTGATCAGCCCGAGTATATA